CCAGTACACATACATGTACAAGCGAACATTTCTCTGATGACGCTTATGTCTGAGTGCCATACAGCCAACGAGAATCAGCCTGACAACAATCCCTGCATGCTCCGGAAAAAGAATTGGACTACACCTCTCCAACTGCACTGGATTCAACTCGCTCCGTTTCAACCCACACTCTAACCAGAACCTCGAATAATGACTTCAATCAAGTTGAGGATTTCAACGTAGATCTTCAATCAAGCAAATCTCATCTAACATGGACTAGACATAACTCATTAGAGACTTTACCTGTACTAGCATTTTTTTCCACAGGACCCCACATGACTACCATTGTCCCATTTCAGCAGGAAGTATCCTAGAAGATGCTATGCCCCGCTCCCCATTATTGTTTATTAGGGTAGTGTAAGCCTAGTTAAGAATGACCTTCTTATTGTTTAGAGTTGGGATTGGAAGGAGGTGTTCAAGTTAGACACCCTTTCCACATGACTTTAAGACTTAGCTGGAGTAGACATAGGATGTGCAATAGCAGTTTATTGTACCTTCTTACATTTCACCTTTATGATTGCTAATTTTAGACGTTTTACACTATTAAGTTTTAATCCTCTTTTAGACTAAAAGGGGAATTGTACGGAGACACCCTAACCCCCGCCCAATAGCATCCCAGACAGTTGCCAGGTGGACCCTGGACTCGCTCAAAAGGGCGGGGTGAAGGGAAGCCGGGGTGACATAAGGGAAGATTCTTAAGGGCTGCACGTGGAGACCTTGGCCCCTTCTCTCTGGCCGCACTAGCTTGGTTCCTGTGACCTCGCTCTGGCCTGCGTTTTGCTCTGGTGTTCTCCTAAATAAAGAAATCTTACCATCACGGATATAGGTCATCTCTGAGCGCATGTGGTAATCTTAAGACAACCCCTCTGCAGACCTTCCACAGGAGTCCCCAAATTAAATGAGAGACTGCACTGAAGATGAGGTAGGGAGCATAAACATGCAGCTAAGCTATTTTGGGCAACTTGTGTCTGATTTATCAGAATCTCAAGTGGCTCTTATCTCTGTCAAGAAAACCAATATTGATTGAAATTGTAGTTTCCACTCTCATTACTGACGTCTATCCACCAGACCTTTCCTGGAATCTAGGATGACTGAGAAAAGAATGAGTATAGGAGATAGATACAAAATGAAGGTAGTTATATTAAGTCTTATCCTGATTCTTGGACATTTTCTGGTCACCTGTAAGGTTTTTTTGCAGTTTTATTTTTAACATACTTACTTATCCCTCTCTCACACATTATATCCCAAGCATAGTTTCCCCTCCCAGTTCCTCACCACCTTCCATCTCCCCCAGATCCATTCCTTATTTTTGAACATAGAACAGTTAAAATTATTTTTGTTGAATTTTGTGTTTTTTATTTTTAGAATTCTATTTTATTTACATACATTTGTAAATGTCTTGAGATTTTATAAGAAATTCATTTTCACACATTTATTATTTATACTTTGTAAAAAAGTTACAAATCATATAATAGATCCCTTTACTGTTTTTATTGCTATGCTTCCATGTCTCCTTAGGGCATCTATGTTCGCCCATATTTTCTTCAAGTTCCTATCTTAGATAAACTAAAAATTTGATTCATGGAAATGTTTGTCACCATGTAGACATTAAGCAAAACTTGATTTTTAAATGTTTATTGTTATTGACTACTTAATAGTTCCACAGCACTTTTCAAGTAACTATTTGTAATGGTTCCTACTTTCCATTGCTTTTTGTTTTATTGAGAACCTCTAGGACACAGTTGAAGATAGAGCAGTGGTAGGAGCAGAATCCATTCCACATTCTATCCCTTGGTGCACAGTGAACCCATTGGGACACAGAAGGTAGCATTTGTTGAACTGGTAAGTGATGTCATATTTTCTGGTGAACCCAAGCATCTGTATTCTTCACAGCTTTGGAAAGGATGCATTGTTTTCCACATTTCACAGACGGAGGAGCGGATGTCAGGAAAAACATAACTTGTAGAAGAACACATAGTTTGGAATGTCTAAACTGCTGTAACAAAAACATCTTCGTGATTGCAAAACCCCTTCCTGTCATCAAAAGTGACCTGAAAGACTCAAGAAGAAATCCAGCTGTGGCATCCATCTCTACTCTTTCCTTCCCTCCCTTGAGTCCTCCTCCTAGGCCCAGGCCGAGGCTGTGCCTTCTAGATTCTTCTTCAGGGCCGGAAGGGATTCTGGGCTCACCGGGCGAGCATCTCGGTGGAGGCCTGGGGCGGGCTCTCTCTGTCTCT